ATATTGTAAAAAAGGGATCAAACCCAAAATAACACATTTGTTGACTGGAAAAGCTGCGAATTCGGGGGGGGGGGAAAACAAGTCACCAGGAAAAGAAGAAGGAGGTCCCCTACCAGGGAAACAGTACTGGTGACAAAAGCCAAAACACAAAATGCAGCCCATGTACCTAAAGCAAAACACAAAATGCAGCCTCTAATGTACCTATAGCCATAACACAAAATGCAGCCTCTAATGTACCTAAAGCCATAACACAAAATGTAGCCTCTAATGTAACGTTACGTAAAGCCAAAACACAAAATGCAGCCTCCAATGTAACCCCTCCAAGTCCTAAGCCATGGCTCGCCAGTAATGCTCCATGGGAATTAATTGATATCAACAATTGTAGAGGTAGAATTTGCGCAGGGTGTAGGGATTCTTTTTCGAGTAAGTATCCGCCACTGTCAATTCTTTTACGACATTTTGAGCGTGACTTTAAAAGAGGCACAAAAGACATTACACCGTCATTCCCTTCTAACAAAACTTTTACAGTAGACCGTCGGGTAAGTAATGTACAAATTGAACATGTGCGGAATGTCTTGGGTCATCTCATAATATAGGTTGTTTTAGGTTCTGAGTGTGTTTGTTTGTAAGTCGAGCCCCCCCCCCATTCCACTTCTTCCATCTCAAACCTCCGAGTCTCCCTGTAAGCATTCTGTTTCTTGTTCCACAAAAAAGTAAGATGAATATATCTTATTGCTGAATGGTGGGAATTTCAAACTAGGAATCATTTACTCATTTCCAGAATATTAACTGATCTTAGCACAAGTAATGGCATTTTTTTTTACTTCATCAATTTTCTGGTTTTGGTTGTTTTATAACTTACATGTTTTTTTTTTGTGTTTGTATTTTCCACTGGTATATACTGTGTATTGAATTGAATATGCTTTGAATTTCTGAGATCTAATTCAAAACGTTCAAGTGACTTATGTTCTTCAAGATATGTGTCTATTCGAAGTACAATGTGTACCTACATGTAGTACGTATTTCTGTTTTGAAAACTCAGTTCAGCTGCTAACACAGACTTGATTTGTTTGGATACCAACAGGAACAATCTATGGGTACCGTAGACAGTTTACGACCTGTATGTGTGAATGAAAAAATGTGTATTTGTACCTGTAGGGAGAGCACTGTTGTGCTTTAATTTTGTTCCTTATTGCATCTGTAGGTATAGTTTACCAACTGTGTAACGTTATATGTATGAATTCTTACAAAAAGGTGTCTTTGTACCTGTAGAACAAGACCTGTACTGTAGGGAGAGCACTGTTGTGCTTTGATTTTGTTCCTTATTGCATCTGTAGGTATAGTTTACCAACTGTGTACCGTTACAGGTATGTGAATTCTTACAAAAAGGTGTCTTTGTACCTGTAGAACAAGACCTGTACTGTAGGGAGAGCACTGTTGTGCTTTGATTTTGTTCATTATTTTGCAAGGAGTAGTATTTTATGTACTAGTGTAGGTTAAAGGAACTTTTGAGGCAGTGAGTGCCTTGCATTCAAGTTGCAAGTTTATGGGTTGAATGTACTTACCGGTATGTCAGAATCTGTCAGATGCCTGTTTGAGGCAAATATTTTATCATAGTAACGTTATAATCTGTTGAAGTTGGTTAACCTCTTATAGGGCAAGTTCTCAAATGTATTTTGACAAATGTTTTGTGCATTGATGTCTTGAGTTCATTAAAAAGTTATAAAGCAATTTTTACTTCTTTCTTCTTCTTTCATACTGCTAAGCCTCGTAGAACGAGATAATTAGCAGTGCACACATCGGTTAGTTACAACACAAGTGTCCGGTACGAATAAAACGAAGGGAAAGGAAAGACTCTAAGGTAACATGAATGACTGATTTTGCGTGTTCAAAGACAGAACAAGTGAGTCAGTGAGTTAGTAATACATATATTACGCCCTGTTTTTTCTGTTGCTCCCCTTCCCAACCTGTGCTGGACTTAGCTTGAAGTCGAACAGGATTCTCTCAACTGTCCTCTGTTCGACTGTACCAGTGGTTTTCAGGCACATGGTGCCCTGTATCCTATAAGCAAACAGATTGCACTATAACTAAAACATTGTATTATTCGTGTAGGCGACAGAAAATTACAGTAACTTACATGTACTTACAATACCTTGATACAATACAAGATTTTACCTCGCTGTCAGACTCAGTGAAATTATTCAATAATCATTTGCTAATTATCCCCTTATTATGGAAGAGTTTAGAGGCAACATAAGTTGAAGAAACAAATTATTTCTTAATTGCCAATATTCTTTGCTAACGCCCCCCTCCCACAGAAAAATACGTGCCCTCCCCTTTCCTCCAAAGAAAACATGCAAAACAATCACTGTCTTCTTCACCATTCAAACAAACGATATAATTTCGACGTTCTCCATACATACACCGACAGGTATCGAAGGCTAGTCCTTCTTTATCAATCGGCAAATTTCGCAAAAAATCTACACAAAATGCCATGTGCATACATGTGGTGGATATATACAAACCGTAATTTTCTTTTTCATGCCCGCCGACGAACGTAAATTTATCTCAAGTACCTACCTATTCACTATCCTAGCTTCCAACGACGTGCCTCGTCTATTCAGCAGACAGGTCGGGCTCAAATTTTTTTTTATTCACATGACACATCAGAAAATATCGGCAGTCCTTTTGTAAACAAGTATGGCGCGAACAGAAGGATACAATGCATCGCATCCAAACATAAAAGTAAGAAGGAAATAATGACAAGAAAGACTCAAAATCTATAAATGTTTGTAAAGGTAATATAAAACATAATATAATATTTTGAAAACCAAATTCATTCTTTATTGTATTGATTTTGAACGTCTATACACTGACTATATAATCTGCTACGTTGTGATGCTGTTCGGTCAGATGGAGATATGCTAATGAGATATGCGTGGTTGACTGGATTCGTCCCGCAGCGCGCGCGCTGGACACCCTTGTTCACAGATTACGGAAAATAGGGCACGGGGAGGGACCTCAACACATTTCTCAAAGAAGTACTCCTCCCCTTGTCCTTTCAGGTTGCGACTAGCGGCATAGCGGCATATATGTATATATAAGTTATAAAAATATGACGATCTTCCCCAGAAACAAATCTCTGCTTGGAAAGTGGAGCAATTTTGCTAAATGCTAAAATTGTTTTGTTAAATGGAAGTAAATATCCTTCTCAAGGCAAACTCATATTGACATACTAAGTACTCTGCAGTGGAAATATCAGTGGGTAAATAGTTGGTGAAAAAAAAAACATAATTGGGACGCACTTGATGCTGACAAGGAGTAAATTTTATTGGGTGAACTGTGTACTGTTGCATTTCCGGTGCTTTCCGCTAGGGGGCGCAACCGCACGCAGAAAAAGCGAAATGCTTGCTCCGGCGCATGGGATACGCAAAACCCCCATTAGCGGCCTCGGACCGGACCGGGCAGCGGTTTAGGTGGACCGGGCAGGGCAGCTAAGTCCGAATACCCGGTAAACATGTAAGAAAGAGGGTGTCAAAAGTCAAGTTTTAGTCCATGAAAAACTCACATTGGCTGGGGTGTCTGACCTCTAAAGTGTCATTCTAGAGCAAAATTTCCATTTTCTATACGGTGCAACACGTCCGTACTCGAATTAAAACAAACAACATGACCTCTGACCCCTCTTTAACACTTCCAAACCTTACCAAACCACAACATTTCTACAGCCTACGGACACCACAAAAATGGGTGAAAGTTAGATTTTTCAACATAATCAAAAAGGAAAAACCCTCACCTGTATTATCCATCTCCAAAATCCAAACACATGCCAGTAAAATAACACTTTTATACCTACATTTGCCAGCAGTGCTATTACCGGTCTTTGCCCTGCTACCCCCCCCCCCGGGCCCCCCTGAACTTGAGAATTTGCACGTGACAACAACGTTAAACTGTGATTAAACTAGTTCTTAACTAGTCTACGCCTGCGCCATTACCGGTCTTTGCCCTGGAGTGGGAGTTACCTTCTTTTCACGTCGACAAATCGGTACAGATGAGGTTCATAATGACGCAGATTTGCGTTAGTAAGCCCGGTTCTCATTTGGTTACATTGGAGGGCCACTGAATGACCTACTTTAGCGTCTGCTGTCACGTTTTTGTTAGCAAAAAGCCGCTAAAAATTACAAGCACGGCCCGCTTGCTACAGTGGTACACTTACGTGGTTAAATTACGTTCAAGAATGCCGAGAAACTACTTAACTACGTCGTCTAACTACTTAACTAAGCTCGTCTTCGGTGCTAAAACTTACCTTCCTCGGGGCAGGAGGTCATGTGTTTTGTACCCGAAAAAAAAATGATTTCAGAACAGCGAGTGCAAAGACCCACTTTACACTCTCCCCTGTGGAACTGTATATTTGACGAATGTTAGCTGAGGAATCCAGGAATCTAATATATACTCCAGGGATTTTTCTGCGCGATTATTTATATGAGCAAGGGCATTTATTAACATACAACATACAGGATGATCGAGCTAGGGGGGAAGATACAGAAAGAGGGTGCCCTCCCCTTCCGCAGAGCGAGGCCATTGAAAGATTGAAGTTACAAATGGGGCATTCTAAGGCCGCTATCAATAAGGAAATTCTAACTCTTGTGATCACTTGATAATGAAGACATGCCGACAATCAACTCACCTTTTGTTCAGTTAGAAGCGTTTAAAATACTAACTTAATCTACTCTGCATTTGGTGTATTGTTGCATAATTAATAAATCATTAATCAGACTTTTAATGTATGATGCTATTTGCCTGTCTGTCTTGCCAGATTTGTAAAGTATCTACCATTTTAGCTATTACTGTTGTATATGACTCTTTTAACTAGAATAAGTGTAGGGATAGCTGTGTAGAGAACATTCCCTTTACAGACTGTAGGTTAAAAAAGACTGTAGACTGCATGCATGCATAAAGATTGTATGCGCATTTTGTACACTGTTCACATTCACCCTGACACCACCCGTCAGGTGGCACAGATTGCTCCACAAATCCGTACAGCGCAACTTCCAACTTCAAATACTAGTAACCAACTATGTGGAATCCAGTGTAGATTCATCGTTGTACTATTGACCCCGGAGTTGAATTATTGTTTTTACAAGTAGTGACTGACGCATAACTTTCGAGAACTATATCTGTATGTCATACCATAAGAAAATGCCTCCCGAACTCTTCATTCTTTTGCAATAAGTAAGTATTGTAAGAATTTAAAGTTGAAGATTAAAGTTGGGGATTTTCTGAGATGGAATTAGAACACATGGAGCTTTAACTTAAACAGGAAATACATGTATGTGTGTATTCTAAATAGTCAACATATTCTAAGCAGAAGGCCAGTCAAACTGCCAGAGAATTGACAAGAGGACACCAATTATTTAGGACACAGGTGTACAGGTGTTTGCTGTCATGTGGATACAAGGTACTGTAACTGAATATTGAAATTACATTCTTCAAATTCTTCAGGGAGTATATCTGACCAATTTTCTTGCAGTATTATTAAAGATTGTTGTTTAATCTTTAATCGTAATCATATAATAAAAGGTAACATTTGTTTCCGTTCTTTACATGTGTCATTCTTCTTGTAAGTACTTCCCTTCTTACTGTGTACTAGAAAAAATATACTTATATCAAAATGTTATCCTGATGTTCTTTTTCAGAACACAACACGCCGACGCTTCTGTTACCTAGGAATTCAGATTTTATATTATCCTTGTTGTCTTGCATCAAAAAAACTAATCCTGTTCATCGATTTTTTTGTAGAATCTGTAAATACCTAATTATGTTGGGCAGAGGTCAGGTTTAGACAATATATTAGATCTGCAGGTTACATGATTATGTCTAAAACATATCTCGTAAATATATCTTTTGGCAGAGACAGAAATATTCATGAATTGTATAAGGACAGCTTGTGTGTAGGTAGTGTCATCATTATCCAATTTAAGCCTCTAAAATATTTCATGAAGGTAATGTTTTGGCCATTTGCACCTAAAATGTGTATTTGGGGGCTCCTGCTCAATTTCCTTACATTATGACAAAAGGCAAGGTTAGGATATTTTGGATAATAATCTTGTACATAATTATATAGTAAAGTAGCAAAATTAGCTGTGAATTTATAGACAAAATATGATTTCGCACAACTTCTACATTCGTTAGGGATTACCACAGCAAAAAAAGGACGAAAGAAATCAAATGCACAAAAAGTATTTCAGTTTCTTAACATGCAAATGCTTTTAGTAACATCCATATAACAATAAAGTACAAAACTTTACCAATATGTATTTAATGGGCGAGGTATCTGCCTATACAACGTCAATATACTTTCTAGTCATCGAATTCCTGTGTCAAAACTTTTAACCGAGCTTGAATATTTGCATTACTTGATAAGAATTCAACGAAACCAGTGTTGCTCCAGCCCTACCCTACTGTATTTTTTGTGGCAGCGATTCTTTTTATATTCTACATTGTGAAAACTAACAAAAACATAAACAAAGGACAATACATGTGACAATAAACCAGGCATAGATTAGTTGGAAAACTGTTTCATGGTGCAGGTAACATCGCTAATTCTGATCTAATGAATAATTCCTTTATAAAAGAAGGATTAAAAAATGCATTACACTGAAAATATGTTTTGTAGAAAAGGAAAGTCGCTTCAGATTGTTATGACAATGTAATGAAATGAATGCAACGGATAAAGTCGACAACAAATAAATGGACACAAAGTAATATTACTTTATTTAAAAAATACTATCGTTAAATCATTAGTAGCAGCAGCAAAGGCAACATATATAATTTATATTTACTTTCTATAGAAAAAATGTCTACTTTCTATTGTATACACTGATGAAAAGACTAGATGCTACTTTCCGTTAGTGTGTATACCATGAAAAGTAAGAAAAAATATGATCATAATCTACCTGCAAGTTGCCCTATCGTGCGCGTGACCAGACTTGACGGGCCGCGTGTTTAGTTTCCCCGCCGGGTTTGATTTATACGCTGCGGTGAGTTTTGTCCACGCCCGTCCAGTCATTCCTACCTCGTGCATCGGTGTTAGACTACAAGGTTTTACACGGCAGTAGTTTAATAAACACACAACGTGGTGACTTAATCAAAATCATTCCGTGTAAACTTCCTACCGTAAAACTCCTGCCGGGATTCTAGTTTAACTGGACGGGGAGGAAGGTCTGAAGGACCGAAGAATGCCAGCCCAAACGACGATAGACACCGAACCGTCACGTAGAAAAACAGGTATTGTAGGTTGTACACAGCGTGTACAGTTACCCTAAGCTGACCTTTCAGTGCCTATCAGTGTGACGCTTTATGGGGGAAGAATGGTTGAGGGGACATTTCCAAGGTCATGCGATCCTTCTGCTTGCTAAGCCGTAGTGTCTCACCTAGAGGCATTGTTTCGGACATGCTAAAACTGGTGCTTGGAGACTAAGCTATAGAAGAAGAAATCGTTGGCCACAACATTTTGTAGCAGTAAGGACAAGTACTATGTGTGAGCGTTTATCAGTGTAAAGCTCAAAGGTGATCCAGAAAGGGGTGGAGCTTCCAAGGCCATGTAAACACTCCGCTCAGTGTAGCGTGGCGTGTTACCTGCGGTTTTCTATCCAATAATTGCTGTGCTCGATGTGCTGCAGTTTTTACAGCGATCAGTAGGAGGCAGTGCTGTACAGGGCTACATGTACTTGTTCTTTTTCACTAAACTCTGTGTGCCAAATGTGGGGTTAGGTAAACTCTGTTTGTTAAAAATGTCCTGAATAGTAATTTTGAAAATCAAAATTTCCTGCCCGAAAAGTGCCGAAAAACAAATACACATTTACGTAGTAATTATTATGGCACAGCGATTATACTCTGTCACAACTCAAAACGGAAGCGCATCACATTCTAGAAAAGGCTGCAGGCAAGAACAGTTAAGAATGTGATGTATAGCTTTTGGGGTCTGTTCTCCTGTTATGTTTGTTCTCCCGTTGAAACAGACTATCAGGAATAAAAGGTAACATTTGTTTCCGTTCTTTACTTATGTTTTTCTTCTTGTAAGTACT